TGTGATTCAAGGTATCCCTTCTCTCTTCCCACTCTTGTTCGCTCTCTCTCTCTCCCTCTCTCTCTCTCTCTCTCTCTCTACTTCTCATGTCTCTCTCCCTCTGTCCGGACTCTCTCCTTGCCTTTCTTTTCTCATTCTCCGTGTTCAGAGCATAAACACAACGGATTCAGGAATTGTCGAAAACCAAAAAAAAGATAAACGAATTGTTCTCACAGGTGTACATCGACCCCTGGACTTCGCAAGCGAACAATGGGAACAGGCTGCAAGAGATCATCCTGCCTGTATGCCCTGTCATCTCGTGGGTATCGTAGAGTATGGGAGCCTCAACAAGTGATTTTGCTACTCGCCCTCGTGTATAGTCTTTGCAAATCGCACGCAGTGCCACAAGATCCTGTTGAAATTCTTTCAGTCTCCATACATCCTGACAGACCTTTATACATGTACACAACCTGCGAATGCGATGCAGCCTTCACATTCTGTAAATTCAGTGGAATCTTATCTAAGTGTAGTCTTTGGCTTCGTCATGCTTCGTCATCGTGGTGAGGCCTGCCGGCTGGCTCGTGATCAGCGCACAGAAGGTTGGGAAGTTTCAAGGGCTCTGGGTTTAGGGATAACATATTTAGGTGTTTCATGCAGACACGGAGGATGTAAGGACTGGTCGAGGGGTTCAGTTCTGGCCAAGGTGCAAAGGTCGTCGCTTGGACTTAGACGTTGTGACTTTGCCTTGCGGTCTGCGGCTCTTGCCTTGAGAATCCACTTTCATGGCAAGCAAGGTCTTTTTGCTCTTGTGTCGCGACAAGCCTTTATGCCTGTGAACGCCAAAGGTTTCCCTACCTATAGTCTCCATTGTAGTTCCTTTTTGGGGATACTTCATAGAATCCTTAATATATATAATTGGTTAAACCAAAAAGAGGAACTACAATGGAGACTATATGTAGTGAACAGCTTGAAGCCGAAGCCGACCATCTCCCAGCGCTGCAAACGCCCCAGCCCACAAAGCCGCCAAAGCCTGCAGCACCGAAGAATCTAGAACTTTGACGCCAAGTCCTCCGCCGAAACTAACTCCAAACTAGACCTTATAAACCTTAGCTGTATCTCCGAAGCCCGACATTGGAATCCAGCAATTCCATTTCTCTTTGCAACCCCCAGGATCAATCAAAGGAGCAGCTGCTGGTTGAATTTTAAACGTGTATGATACGGATCGTGTTGGGCAATGTCTATAAGCTCCCAGCAAGACGTTTGGAGTTCGGACCCTTGCTGCACACTTTGCTCTGCCCACCCCCCACCCCCCCGCCTCATGAAGCGAAACCCTCGCAGCACAACCGTCCACGTCGTAAGCCGTTGACAAGTCAGGTATCAATCTGTGACACAAAAGCCTGCAGATCAGACTCGAATCGTATGGTAGAGGGTTATGCTCCTAGCACTCTACGCGCCACTACGCTCATGCATTTCATTCCAAGTGCGAAGCCGATCTCCTGAAAAACTGCCACCATCGACGGCCCGACAGGGAAGAGAAGGTCTTGATGCCTTTCAACAACTGCTTTGCAGGGGCCTCGGTACGCACGTCAGCAGGAGCTGTTTTTTGTTGTAGTCATCAACTTAAGAATCGTCTCTGTCAGGCTTTCACAGCGAAGAAGCCTAGGTTAATGCTTCAGGTTTCTGGCGCCCAGTTCGCGGTTTCAGTTGCCAGTGCTGAAGGTTCAGGGGTCCTCAAGTATACAACAGCGGCTTTGTCATTGTCACTGGGACCCTAAACCCTAAACCCTATGAACCCCCTGATAAAAGCCTGGACCCTAAACCATAGTACCCAGAGACTCCAATACCCCTTAATTAAGGAATATACCTTAAATCATAGTAGGATCCCTAATATGATTGAAGGTATATTCCTTAATTAAGGGGTATTGGAGTCTCTGGGTCGGATGGAGGCCAGGTCCGCTTTAGATCGCCGACACCGAGGCTCGACCACTGCACCTCTTGGCCCTGCCTTCACTATCGAGGTGCAAAGCCTGAAGTGTAAGGGTCAGAATAGGATCTAGGAATGCCGTTGTTAGGGTGTTTATGAGGCTAGTAAAGTGTTTTTCTTGTTTGTTTTTTCTGGTTGGGTGGTTTTGGCGTTTATAAGTTTCTAATTTTGTTGGTCCTGGTCCTCGATTCCCGGGCACGGAGTGAACGGGTCAGGGTTTGAGGTTCGAGCTTGAGGATTTGAGGGTCGGCCGGTTTATCAAGGTTATGATCTTGAAGCCAATTCTTGACTGGCCTTTTCGAGCTTTAAGATGTCGTGATTCCAAGATGGCAAGCTTGGGGCGGAGCTCTACAGAAATTATACTAGTCACTACTACTACTACTACTACTACTACTATTGCTGCTGCTGCTACTACTGCTACTACTGCTACTGCTACTGCGACTGCTACTGCTACTGCTACTGCTGCTACTACGACGACGACGACTACTACTACTACTGT